CCTCACGGCCGCCCCCCACCCCCTCCGAGGGATGGACCGGCCTCGGCAGGCATGAAAATACGCATTAAAACTTCTGTCAGAGGCGAAGGGTTTAAAACCGACATCTTTATTGTTTTTTCCCTTCACACACGTACGCGGCAGGCGGACGGTAAGCGCTGCCCCCCCTTCCCGACAGGTACCACCGGCTCCTGAGCAGCCCCGCGGCACCAACGCTGTTGTTTACGGAGCAGCAAGGAGTACAGGAGGAGAGTCCCGGTCAGTTATAAAAACCTGTTTACTCAAGCGTGACACAAAATGTTCACTGCGAGACCAAAAAAAAAAAAAAAAACAACAAAACAACCAAACCTGAACTCAAGGCAGAGTTGAAAAATACATCAAAAGGAGGTAGTACGCAAATCATGCCTAGGGTATACCCATGACAGTGGTGCTGGGGTGGGTAAGGCATAAGCAAATAAAGAAGGCATTCAACAAATAAACTTCCTAAATAAGTGACTGAAGCCCAGCACAAAAACTGGGTTATCTTCTGGGGTCCGTGGAACTAAGAATACAGAAAGGAAAAAAATAAAATAGCGTTCCACAACAGCCATTTCGTACTGGATATTGGGCATTTACAGCTGTTGATGTTCACATCGCAGCCCTACTCCTTCACCCCTCCTGGAGAAGGCTCTCAGGGCCTGGAACTCCCTCCTTCGCCACCTAAAAGCTTCCCCAGGTTTGCTCTGGGCTGCGGCAGCTCCAGCAGGGAATGGGCTGCCCCGCAGACAGCGTCTGTGCGCCCAGTGCGCTGCAGAGGACGGCCCAGGTCACCCATTTAACTGGAAAGGACACAAGTTTTCTGTTAACAGTGATCAGTTTGTACGCCTACCTTCACAACAACTTTAAAGTAGCATTTTGCAGAAAGTAGTGGATTAAAAACACCCCTCCCTTTGCCCAATATTGCCATGTATAGATAGAATTAAAACAAGTATCTTATCTGTTGACTTAAAAAAAAATATCCAAGCCCGCACAGAGCTATGTTGGAGAGCTTCAGACTGAAATTCAACTGAACCGGTAATATGAAGAATTGCATCCCAAAGAGAAAGAAATCAGGCAAGGGGAGAAGGAGACCTGCTTGGCTGAGCAGGGACCTTCTGAAAAGGCTCAGGTGGAAGAAGGGAGTTTACAATAGGTGGAAGAAGGGGCTGACTGCTTGGGAGGAATACAAGAATGCTGTCAGGGTATGCAGGGAGGAAACAAGGAAAGCCAAGGCAGCCTTGGAATTGAACCTGGCGAGGGATGTCAAGGCCAACAGGAAGGGTTTCTTTAAGTATATAGGAGACAAAAGGAAAACTAGGGAAAATGTGGGCCCGTTGTTGAATGAGACAGGTGCTGTGGTGACGGATGATGCAGAGAAGGCGGAGTTGCTAAATGCCTTCTTTGCTTCTGTCTTCACTGTTCGGGCCAGTCCTTGTGAGACCCCGACTTTGCAGGTAACAGAGAAAGTCTGGGGGAAACAAGACTATCCCTTGGTTGACAAGGAGCACGTTAAAGATCAGTTAGATAAATTGGACATACATAAATCCATGGGGCCTGATGGGATGCACCCTCGGGTGCTGAGGGAGCTGGGGGAAGTCATTGCTGGGCCTCTCTCCATTATCTTTGAAAGGTCCTGGAGGACAGGTGAGGTGCCTGAGGACTGGAGGATAGCCAATGTCACTCCAGTCTTCAAAAAGGGCAGGAAGGATGACCCGGGAAACTACAGGCCGGTCAGCCTCACCTCCATCCCTGGGAAGATGATGGAGCAGCTTGTTCTGGGAGTCATCTCAAAGCACCTGGATGAAAAGAAGATTATCAGAAGTAGTCAACATGGATTCACCAAGGGGAAGTCATGTCTGACTAATCTGATAGCCTTCTATGACAAAGTAACTAGATGGGTGGATGAGGGGAGGGCAGTGGATGTTGTCTA